AATATTACAATATGTCACAGTTATAATATTATAAAACATTTTATAATGTTCAGAGAGCTCATTCACACTCTATATTTTGTTATGTCAAATTAATACAACTATAAACCTCATTATTATTAAGTAATTTGATGAATAATTAAGAGCATTTTTCTCTAAATGCGTCTACATACAGAATGCGATATATCTCGGCGATATGAAGATGTAGTTGTATTACTATCTATTATAGATTATTACTGCGTTATAGCAGTCCCTCAGAGCACGATAATCCACAGCGATACGGGCAAAGTATGTCGTATCGTCGGAACTGTTTTCAATAACATCAATATTACAGACACAAATTTGGATGAATTCAGGCTTTATGGTTATATTATGATAATAACTTTTTTTTTAAACGTTTATTTGTTCCTTTGTATAATAATATGTGTAGACACGCTTTAAATCCTGTTATTAAATAAAGGAGAAAACAAAAAAAGTGATAATTGAATTTTTTTAAATTTTATTATTTTTCTACTTTATTTAATAACTGGATTTAAAGTGTGTCTACAAATATTTTGATAAAACTGTGTAAACAGTTAGATAGGCTCTACGGCCCACAATTGTATTATCTTTATTATATAAAGGGACTTGTACCAGAACAAATAAATCATATTATTATTGTATAATATATATTTACTATCGATTATATATAATATATTATAAAAATTTGTATGTAAATGTATATGTGTTTTATAGTTTTCAATTCGTTTATAAGACGTGAAATATTTTTTTAAATTGTTCATATTATTCATGGAATAAATTTTGTTTTATGAACAATTCGAGAGGTTTATTTAGCAAAATTTTGAAATTTAGACTGTTTCAGGTTATTTTTTCCGCAAGTCTTTTTTTAAATTTGGACCAGATGCCACGGAGAAGACGAACCTTGATGTAGTTATAAATTTTCCCATCCACGTCAGAGATTAGATAGGAGCTCTTTGTAGTTATTTTCGGTAGAAGTTTATTGGGGCGTAAGATCACAAGGGCCCTATACCTCTACCGTAATTATAGTTAGCCAAAGTGTGTTGTGGGAAGGGGGGCGGAGGGTGGGCGAATTATATTTAAAGAACTTGAACTTCATCGAAGGTCGGACGATTCTCGTTGGATTGAGGAAAGTAGTGGATATAGCACAGGTTGGGGCCTCAAGGCCACATGTGGCCTAGCTTTGGTTCCTGTCGGTTTTTGTACGATCTTCATTAGTCTATTACTAGATTTAATTAACATATGATTATTCAGACTAAGAAAATTTGAAAATAAAATTGTATTGAATATATGTAAATGGGTGTGCATTTACTTACAAATAAAAATAGCAATAGTAAAACATAAAACAAATGTTGCGGTCTCCATTATCACTTCCTAACAATAATACGACCTCTTATAAAAAGATTCTTTACCTGCAATTTGCAAGACCAAGACCCAGGCCCCCTAACTGTTGCAAGACCAAGACCAGGGGACTGGTTAGAAAAGTCGATTTTTTAAATAAAATTTAAGGGAGAATAGTTACTAATACTCGAAAATCTTAGTTACTATATGTTAATAATTGGTATAACCAGTATACTTTAGCATTTAACTCCTCTAATTTTTCATTCAATTTTAGTTAGGTCTCTTCTATCTAAACAATTACAGCAATATCTCTATAGTAATAAGCTAATAAGTAACTGCAAGAATGTTGCAAGACTGAATTTGCAAGACCGAGACTCGTCTCGGTCTCGCATTCGGGCAAGAATAATTCTAAACTATATATGAATATTGATAACCAGAAATCATAAACTATGTCTTTTGTTCACAAGTACAAATACCATTTGATCACCAATTGTTTTATTTATTTTATAATTGAAATTTACGACGTTTTTGGGGAAGTGATATAGCCACTTGAAGTCATTTTGTACCATAATCATGTCAACATTCTTCTTCATTTGTTTCAGTGAAGAACAAATATGTCAAGTATGGTCTTCCATCGTCTTATCAAATTTACTTCGAGGGAATGTGCATACGTGATTGCATATTGTCGTTTTATATTTTTGAGGTAAAATATTGTATATTTGACTCATTTCTAAAAATTATCAAAAATATTGTTACTTATAAAATAATTGTTCGATTTTAATGATTTTTCAATAAGGAAAGGTAACGCATAACTTAGACCTCAGGTATGCTTTGAAGATTTATTTCCTTTGTATTAAGGTCCTTAACTTTGAAGATGCAGGATCCAGGATACTGGAGCTGGCATTGACAGCCTTCGAATATTAGCATATCCTTTCAGCCACAGGTGTCATCCCAATACACTGTTTTCTGGAATGGTGTCCCATTTCTTTATTTTTATTCTGATGTTATTGTCTTTGAGAACAACATTATATGTCACATACCTACTCCGACACGTTTCCGACTTTAACAAACACATAAAATTTATATGCTAACGTTTTATAATTAATCAAAATAATAATAGACTAAAATTAAATAAAAGGATAAGGACCTGTGAACCACATGTTAAAATGAAACGCAAGACCAAACAACTGAAAATAACATACTCTCTTTTTCTTGTAGACATATGAAAATACGTTTCCCAGATTTACGATTCAATAAAAAATACTCACATGTAAAACTACAATCTTTTCAAGCACAATTTTAAGAGTAATAACAGCTGCTTCTTGATATTTGCAGAAAAAAACTTTACTTTTTTTTTTTCGGTCCACCCCTTCCTCGCCGTTAAGGCTATACGGGGTTTTCCCGGGCCAGGGAGTGTGGGCGAGGATTTAAAAGACTCCCTCGGCACCGGGATGCGAACTCGTGACTACTTTTCTATCATTTCATTGACATATCAAGTTGCCGGGTAACGGCGGCCATTTCCGCCACCCCGCCCACGAACAAAACTTTACTAACCGCCTTACAACAAACAACAATCGAACGAATCATACGTACTCCCATAAGCGTAGACTTTTATTTCTGGTGAGAGACCTCTCCCCACCTCCAAAAAAAAAGTTTATCTTATGTATAAAAATTATGAATGGCGATTCAGATAATCAGCATCATTATTGCATAATTTTATTAGAAAGAAAATATACATACGTATGTTTGTACTCTATACATTAGTTTTTTTTTGCGTATAGGTTATGGGTATATTTTAAAATATGTTAACAAAACAATTGAATATATTGCATATTTATATTTAAAGGATTAAGGCAGTGAGATGAACTATACATTTTTCTGATGCTTCGAATTTCTCTCGGGAGATGTGATAAAATCATCACATAAAAATAGAAGAGTGCTCATGAATAATTCATAAAGTCGTAGAATACGTTGTTACGTACAATTATCAGGATTATGTGGTTAAAATGTTGCGTAAAGTATATAGTCCAAAGAATATTAAAAGGATATCACCGAATAATCATAAGCAAACTTTACTAAAATAAAAACTATATAGTATATAAGATAAATAAATAATAAAAATCTTCTGATTGGAAAAAATTAAAGGAAACAGAGTTCTTGTACAATAATGTAAATAACCTGTTGAAGGTTTAATTTTAAATATTTCTTTTTGGCGGGAATTATCAATATTCTTTTCCGTTTTATAGGGGGATAGGTTATTTACACTCGTGAATATTAGATCTCCGGCACTGGATATAGACTTTTTGAGGATGTTTAACGGCTGTTGGGAATTCCGGAACTTAATACTTTTGTGACACTGAGTGAGAAGAAACAATAAGAATAGATATATATGAAATGTGGGACTTAGTAAATACACTAAGATTATCGATATGAGACTTTTCAATGAACAATTTGTCCACTGCACAATTGAGTACAATTCATCGTGCAACCTCATTCACATTCCTATATATTCCTTCTCATTCCCTCAAACAATGTCACATAAAGCAGTAAATAATGGGAGCTATCTACTACAATAAATTAAAAAAAAAAACTACTTGAATAAGAGGTTAAAGGTCTGTGATAATTATATCTGATTTATCATACCGCCACTATGATTTCTGTTTTACCTGTCACTTTCACCGCCACTATTCTTGTATTTTTTGTCGTGTAAAAAAAAAACGTTTTTTTTAGAACTATATGTATGCAATGTGAGCAGCACTGGGGAAGGCTAACTGACTGGCTTCCCCCCTCCATCCGAAGACAATATTTCTTAGCTACGTTCCTCTACCAAATCATCAACAACCATCGTCCTTCTTACGCCTACAACCTTCTCCAGTTCAAATTCTCAGTTCATTCCTTGTCCACAAGATCTCGACCTTCTAACCTTTACATGCCTTCTCACAGATCTGCCTCATTCCAAAACTCCTTTATTGTTCGCTCTGTCATTTTCTGGAATTCCCTCCCTATCAAAATTCGAGATTCCCCATCCATATCCACATTCAAAACCCTCCTATTCCAATTCCTATCCCAAAAACAGTCAGATAGTTGCTAACCATTCGACAACATACATTTATTTCATGCCATTCATTGTCAAATATCAATGCTAAATGATAATGTATTTATATATTAATCAGGCAAGTTATATTGTCAGATTCAGCTTTCTGTTTTCTCAACAGAAACACAAAGCTGATTTTAATAGAGAATTTGATATATTTTTATTTTTTAATCCTTTATTATTTTCTTAAAAGTGTATACTGGTGTATCAGTGCAAATAGCTTTAAGTGTCTTGTCATAGTATTAATTGTTTTGTATATAGAATGTTTAAATATTTATTTTCTTTACATTATTTATTTTTTTCGATTTATTTTATTTTGGCCAGATTTAATCTTTTAATTTTGTTCTATTTTGTTATTGTCAAGGGACTGTGTCCCAGAATGAAGTTATTTTTCTATCTATCTATCTATCTATCTAACTGTCTTCTCAAACCAAAGAGGTTATATGCCATATCGATTAGTGTTGCAACAACTTATTTCTTTATAATTTTGTCCTTTGTTGACTAATATACTATGCGAACTATCATAAACGAACTCTAATATAATACCTACTGGAAGTGTCGTAGTAGACGTCGTTGATGACCTCCTTGCAGGCCTGGGTGGCCAAGTGCCCGGGGGCGGTTGGCCCCCAACAGAGGGCCCCATCGAACTTGGCCCCGCACCAATCAGAGGGTACGACTGCTTGCCAGAGCAGGAAGCACTCCTGCGTCTGCAACTGATATAAAGCCGTTCGTTCATTTAGTATGATATGTAATACATAAATAATAAATTAAATTATAGTATATTATTGTAAAAGAAAATAAAAATATTTCAAAATTAACAGCTACATTAGATAGGGAAATGTAAGCCATATTGATCATTAACTGTACATGCAGGTAAAGTATAAAATAACCCGTCAACGTTCCACCAATTTAGGCACCATCAGGACAGAAAATAATAGAAAGAAAGATGAGATAACACGGCTGGCGGCAAAAAAAAAATAATAAAAAAAAATGAAGAGATATCTAATTAACAATCAAAATACATAAATATGCCATTAAAAAATACAAATAATAATAATAAAAAAAATAAATACAAAAAAGATGCATACATAAAAATCTGGTGTGGTGCATGCATCACCCAACTTTCACTTACTCTTAGCAGAAATAAGTATTTTCAGACAATGCGAAGTGGAAGTAAAAATTATAGACTCTATATTTATTTTTATTTCATTGTGGGTATTTTTATTTGTATAAGTACCCTCATATATATAAAGTTTAATATTTATATCGCTATAATCTATACAATTAAATATAAAATAATTTTCAACAAAAGCATTTATGAAAACCGCATATGTATATTTTCTGAGTCTGTATTATATTAATGTCATGAAACGTATGTGGAAGCGTGTTCTAATCTATCGGGTGAGCTCGTATTCCTTTGGTTCCTCAGTTAAAACTATTCTCCTTTACAATCTCTTATTTCTCCTTAATTTATTTATCAAATTCTTTCATATTTTATATTGGACCATTTTATATATTAGAAATTGGTGTGAAATAGTAAATTGTTTTAAATAAAAAAATATTAAATGTACTTTGGATTAAGCTAATATTGAAAATTAGCCATTTAAGCCCTGTTACAGAACATCGATCAGAATAATAACCACATTTAATTTAAAACTGCCTACTTTTACACTGATGTTCACTTATAACAATAATGCAACAATTATTGATAATTATTGACATACGATCATGAATCGTGTTGATTAGAGGAGTATTACATATGAGTATAACAATGCATTAGATAGACACTAAGGCATCTAAACATGAATTTGATTTTGATTATGTTCGAGTGTTTCGACAGAAGAGGAAGAATTATTTTAAAAGAATGATATATGATGCCATGCATATTGCAAAGAAGTGAAATAATGCTGTTAATTATAGGACTGGCAGTTGAAATTTGAATACATTTAATTTTGAAACCTTGAACATCTTCGAAAAATCTATTTAGTCTAGCTGATTAATTTTGTTTTTAAACTTCTAACCTTCCTTTGACGTGCATCTTATTTTTTTCCTTTCGATTATTTTTTCTTATTATTATTTGTATTTTTTTGTGGTATAGTTATGTATTTTTGTTGGCAATTACTTGTTTTTTCATGTCTTTTTTTTTTTGCTGAGCAGCTGTTTGATTATAACCTTTCTCAGCTATGCTACCTACAAACTCTTTCTTCCAATATATGATTTTGTTTCTCTTGAGTTTGTTTTATTTTCTGATGATGCGAAATTTTATTCTTTGTCTGCATCTTAGAGACACAAGCCTGTTTGAAGATTTTCTCGTTTACATTAAAATTGTTGTTGCAGGATACAACAACTGGATTTAATAAAAAGGCAAAATTGAAAATAAATAAAATTATTTTAAATACTGGACGACTCTATGCAGTCTATAATGTGCTAGAATCTCATAATATTTTAATAAATGTATACAATAAAATTAAAATAGTATTACCTCGAATTGAGATTCAGTTGTCAAATTCTTCAAAACGTTTAAGTTGCTGGCCATTTAAATCTGGAACAAAAGACAAACATTAGGGTAAATGAATATTTTACAAATATCTACTAATATTTAATAATTGAATGACATTAAATAATAAACTTTGTAGAGGGGTTAAAAGCAAGACTTGAAAATAAAATATTTATTTTAATTTTTAATTAGTTTCGGTATCACTGGAATTTTAATTTTAATTTTATTTTGTTATTTCGAAACTGTTTTTCAGATCTTTTATCTAAAAGAAAAAAATGTTGATTATAGGTTCTATTTGTTTAATCAAAATGGCGATCTTAAAAGTGACATTTATTCTTAGCTACTCAACTAATTGAGACATAAGTATCAAGAAATCTATTTATGACAAATTGTAACTCTATTCTAACCTCAGTAACTGCTTTAAAGAGCTTAGATAGCAAGAAATTAATTTTTACCGTATACCTAATACTTTCTTACAAAAGTTTTTAAAATTGTTTTTAAAAAACATTTTTCCTAAAAAGTTTCAACGCCCTGGTTCAGTACGAAACTTCGATGATGTAATAATACTAATAAATAATTTTTTTTTTTTTTAAGAAGGACGATAAACCTACAAAAAGTGATAAATAATTCATCCTTCCAAATAGTGGTTCGTTGAAAAGTTTTCGTTAAAATGTTTGTTAAATCATTAATGTTGTAGTTAAAGTGGCGTTTCCATTTATCTAATAGGTATGGAATCTATTTAAGAAGATTTATTTTTGTTTTCACTTATTTTTCTTATTTATGTACTATTTTTTATTATTATTTTTACTTTATCACTATCAAAAGCAGGGAAGCTTTGTATTCGTGCGAGAGGTTAAAAAAAAGTGTTGTGCTCAGAATCGAAAATTTCTATTCGCGTTTTACGTTTCAAACATCAAGGATCAAATTTGGTTCGGTGTCTGTCTGTCTGTAGTCAAATCGATGTAACGGGCATATCACCAACTACCGTTTATCTAATTTTCATGAAATTTTAAGGGATTGTGCTGGTTGGTATCTAGATGGCTCCATATTAATTTTATTAAATTCTAACCTGCACTTCCGCTTAGAAATTACTTAGTATCAGTTTCATTGAATTCCATTTAATAATTAAAATTTATATAAATAATTGTTAACAATATAATGGCTGGGAAATGTGGAATGCACTGATCATATGGAATGGGAATTAGGTTATTACAATATTGTTATGGGGTTATAGAATTTTAGGTTTTATTCAAAAATTTAATTTATACTGTATTGTTTGGTCGATTCTAAACTTTACTGGCATGGCACTTATTGCCGTTACTTAGATTTCGTGTAATTTTCAGTAAATTTAAAGTAATTTTTACTCTGAAAAAAAAGTCTTATTTCTGATTGTGATTATTTCCATTGAAGTTCAACCAGCTCGTCGTGGTCTCCTTAAAAATCAAAATCGTGTCAACTTCACTCATATTTTTATATTCCAGCTTAAATTAGTTTTGTGCTTACTGAAGAAAAGTATAGGTCTCGTTAACTCCGAACAAACAAAAAGTTGAATTTTTTGTTCCATCCATTTTACGAGTGAAAATATACCTATTAAGTATATATCACTACTGTTAGTGCAAAGATCGTATGTAAAAAGTTTCAACCTTTATTCTATTTTTGACATTATGTAATCTGCAAATGATATAAGTAGTCTATAACTATGAAAAATAGCAGGGGACAATAAGATATAAAATTATACTAATAAATATTAAGAAATAATTAATTTGTTTGCTCTTCTGTAAAACACTCAATTTTTATATACGCAATTATGCATCACTACTCACTAACAGTAGCGAGATACATATTCAGTATGCACTGGATTTTTATTTTTAACAACGAATTAACAAATATGTTTTATTTTAATATATATAGTTATTTCTCTATTATTTGCATATACTGTATGAAAGGACATTTAGCCTTCATACTTATTACCCTTTAAAATTGGCAGATAGTATTCATATTTAATAAAAAAAAAAATTATGGAATGTATGCGAATGCAACAATTGTATTTTCTCCACTAGAAAAGCACCAATCACGATCGTAACTCTTTGAGTTGATACAACGAGTATGTCAGCGGATACAAGGAAAAGCAAACCAACCAGAATGAATGTGCGATGCTATTGTTCCAAGCTGTTACCAACAATACATCATGGCCGTTCCATCAGCTCTGGCTCTGATATGGGTCTGACAGTGCAGTCATGTCGTCCAGGCAGTTATTGTGAAATATATTTACTAGTTACATATTCCTCAGAGGTTATTATTACTAAAATAAGTGACAGATGGAAGATATATACAGATTTAGTATTTTCTCATTACATTTAAGTTCAGTTGTATTGTATTTTTATATGACGTTTGTTAAATTAAGGTCTGAGATAAGTTATAGTAGGGAACTTAAGTGGGGATGGCAGTGAGTCAGAAACACAAATAAAAATCGGGTCGATGCGCAGTGGTCGCAAAGGGTATTATAAAAACGGCAAAAAAACTGTGAGAAACTTGGACAAGATATTTTCTGACATGTTTTCTAAAATGTCGGGCCTTTTGAATTGATAGTAGTCCGTGGTACAGACCTCTTTTTATTGAATTATTAACATACGCCTGAAACTTCATAAATAATTTCATCTTATCGTAACAACTATTTTATTTACGAAAACTCTTAGAATTGGGGCGTTTTCAATCTTGAGGGGGGCAAACTTTGTCAATTTAATTCGGTAATAAAAACTCATAAATACACATTTGATTTCTAATTGGATCGTAAGATAATTTGATCACATAATCGAGAAAAAAACCTGGCCTTAAAAAATATTGAGCCGTTTGGCGTGACCTACACACCAACATTTCAAAATAACGTGGTTATATAGGACAAACGGTCCAATATTTTTGTAGACCTCTTTTATCTATTTTGTGATCAAATTATCTTACCATCAAAGTAAAAAGCAAATGTGCATTTACGAGTTTTATGTGCCTAATTAAGTAGACAAAGTTTGTCACACTCCTGATTGAAAACGCCCCAATTCCAAGAATTTTAGTAAATAAAATATTGGTAGGTTACGATGAGATGAAATTATTTACAAAGTTTCAGGCGGATGTTAATAATTCGATAAAAAGGGGTCTGTACCACGGACTGTTAAGTATTAGAAAGTTTTAGTAGGTACGTTTGCTCATTTATCTTTTATTTGCATCATTTCATCTTCCTTTTTTTCTTTATTTTATTTGTTATTAAATCCGATGTGTTTCTATTGATATCACTATATCTTTTTATTTTCTACTTACTCTTTACAAAATTCCTGCACATACATAATATTTCAATCTTATTTATCTTATCATCATTATAATTCTTTAGTTTCGATCATTTTATGTTTACTTCCTTTCTACGTTAACATATTCTGGCGTCAATTTATAACAATTATCACATCTTATTTTATTATCTACTTATTTCTTCTATTTATTTATAATATTTAATATCCCATTTCATTTCTTTGTTATTGTATTGTCGAAACATAATGATGTTTTTTTTTAATTTGTATTCTCACTGACTGCTTCCCTTAACTAACTTGGTCAAATAAATTACATACAGTCAAGTACTTCTCCACCATTGAGAAAATTTATGGTTTGTGGTCCCTGAAATAAATAGTAGTGATCGATATGGATGAGAAACGGTATTCGGTTGACATCATACGTCCTGTATTCCTACGAGGAGAAAATAAATTGAAGATACATAAAATACACATTAATATATATTTGAGGAGAGAGGGGGCAATATATCAGCGGGATAAGTGTGCCATCAGTATACAGTAGGTATCTTATGGGGTCTGTTTCTGCTTGTAATACCACACCAGCCTGGGTAGCTACATGTCGATAAGACAATCGATTCTGCAATATACGAGTAATTTATCGATTAAAAAAATCATAAAAATAGTGTCTTTTAAAGCTAACAAATATTAATTTTTATAGAAATAAAAATATACAAAGCTTAGTTTGATCCTCCTTGATTTTTTTGGAGTATTATATTTCCGGTCGTTAACTAAATATTTATAGCTCCTCGGGATTTTCTCTAAATTTAACTAAAACAATAACTTTTAGATTAAATTCCTTAATAACACAAAAATGAATAGAAGAAATCTCAAACATGTTAATTTTATATCTTTGGTTCCAATCTCTTAACGGTTAGTAAGTCGAGTTAGTACCATATAGTAATATACTAGCATATACAATCCTAAATCCCTTACAACCTACAAATAAATAAATAAAAAAGTACACATACATACCTATATACCTACATAATCAGGCGAGGGAACTCCGAGCCAAACTTGTTTGGAGCATGGCTCCAGGAGATCCCTGCACTTTTCTCTCAACCGCGTCACTGGGGCTAAACCCGGTGGAGATTGAGCGAGAGTGCTTTAGCCACCCACCCCATATCGTGAGTGGAGAATCTGGTCATTGGCAGAACTCCAATATTTACAAACTATAAAAGGTCGCGTGGCCACTGCCATTTTAACCTTCTTGGAGGATTTTAGGGATGGGTGGTGCTGGATAGAGATTGTGAAAAGGAATTCGGATGGTAGATAAGTTTCTGGTGAAATTTGGAGAATTTTGCTAGGATAAGGTCTAGCACAAATGGAATATGGTATGGTGTAAGATTTTGTTGGTTACATAGAAAGCAGCATCGACTATTGTTCGAAGGACTTTGGATTGGAAGGATTGGATGCGTTTGATGTTAGAAAATTTTGCTGTTCCACACAGTTCAAGTCCGTAAGTCCAAGTAGGTTTCAGTATTGTTTTGTAGATAAGTATTTTATTTTCAATAGAAAGTTTAGATTTTCTATTTAGTAGGCGGTATAGTTGGCCGTATCGTCGGTTAAGTTTGAGGGTTCCACGTTAGTCGTCTGTATAAGGGAAAGCCAAGATACCGGACTGTGTCTGAGAAAGGAAGCTGTATGGAATTAAAGTGTACTGGTGGACAGGAACTGCGTCGGAGTGTGAAGGTAATGTATTGGTATTTG